CCTTCCAATAATTTTTCAAGGATTGTTAGAAATATTTTTTCTCACAGAAATTTAATTTTCTTAATTTATTAAAGATTATAAAAAACAATATATAAGACCATCACTTCGAAGAATCAACTTTTCTAACTCATATAGTTGCTGTTGAATCGACGTAAGATTAGAGGATGGACAGCTATTAGACCTAAAGTAAAACGAGTCGGTAAGAAAGAAAGAATAAGGACATTTTCTTAAAGAAGTTGCACCGCCGGCAAGCGTCTTTTAAGAAACCACTAGTACGCTTAGCCACCACTAAGAAAGATGGCGCCTTCTTTAAAGAATCTTGTTAATAAAGTATATTTTCTCTATCTTATTCGAATTCTTTTCCTTTTCTATAACCATAAAATATAAGAAAACAGTATTTATCTCTCTCGGTTGCAAATTATTGCAACATTGCTTATATTTCAACGTAGAACATTTTTGTACCGTTGATGAATTGTAGCAAATCTGATTTTACTTTGCAAATCCGAATACGCGAAAAATCCCACGATCTCCCTGGACAAGCGACCGTTTTTTTCCTCGACGTTCCCTCTTTTCCCGTTCCTTTCGGCGTGTCGGCATTTTCGCCGCGCCGCACGAAGAACAAAGGACGGCTTCACGGTCGGTTAATTTAATCTAAGCAAACATCATACAGATGGTACGGCAATGCGTTTCATGGGGTGTCAGGGAGATTGGGGAGGGTGGAAAATACCTCGAGTGCTGCAAGCGAACGGAGACGGGGATCCGCGGGCCATGGATCTAGATACATACGTAAGTACAAGAGTATTCAAGACGGCGCCGTGAAGCGATGTTTAGCATGTAGATGAAGATCTTGGTAATCAAGGGCTGGTGGCCCCGCGGGCACACTTCGTCAAGTCTCTCTCTTATTTCCAGGCATCGTCATGCAATGCACGAATCAACGTGGAATTTAATACGATGCTGTCTACTAAGAGTTTTACACGATCTTCGAATAAGAGAATTTTACGCTTACATGGGTTAAATACAAATTTCAAGAAATTTTGAGACGTTAAATCATATTGGTTTCCACAGCAAATCCCATAATAGCGTAGAAAATCGAACCCTTTTTAAAGAAAAGATATAGTAACGCAGTCTAGTTTTTACATTTCTGAACATTGTTTGTTGTGATTAACTTTATATTAAAATTTAGTAGTAAAACTCAATAAATTTTGATTATTATAATTTTAACAATTGTAAATATTATAATTAATCGATCAAAGAAATTAATCCCTTCTTTATTTTATTTAAATTTAAATAAAATAAAATTGCCAAACAACAAAACCCGATTATTTCTTTTGTCTCTGGAAAAGAATGTGTATATGAATACTTTTGTAAAATATTAAAACACAATAAAATAAAACGGAATTATTAATTTCTTTGACTGATTAATTGTTATTTGTTTAAATTAGTAATAATATTAAGAAGGGCTACAAGCCAAATATTCTTATTGTCATTACTAATTTTATTATTGCTGAGCCGTAATATTATTTTTGTTTAAGACACGCGGATTAAACAATGCCTCACAATTACAATTATTCTATTTTCACTTATTTGTTTAACTATTATCGAATCAAACGGTTTAAAACAATTAAAAAAAACATGGTCCCCTACGATGTTCATCCGACACTCTTTCCCGGAGACGTCTCGAATCGGAGTCGTATCTCGTTCGAAATGATCGGGTCTCGTCGTCCGAAAATTCACCCCGTAATCGACGGACAAAAAGTAATTTCCCATCGAGCGCGACAAAGGGTGATTTTGCATGGGGAAGGGGGAGTCGTGTTGGCGATAGCCGGGGGAGGGGGAGGGGGTGGCAGTGACCGGTGCGTGTAACGACCATTCTCCCCTGCCGCCTCGTCACCGCGATTCCCTCGCTGCCACCTCCAAAACCACCCCCGTACCACCGCGACCGCCGCCGTTGCCAACTAGAAAGAACGTTTACGGGGAACGCGCCACGTGCGCTCTATGCGTAGAAAAGATGTGGGAGGCATGAGTATGTGTGTACCAACGCGTTCGGTTTGACTGGTATGTGGGGCTCTGGGGCACTTTTTGTTCGTGTCTTTTCATCTCCAGTTTCGTTCAATAGAAAATCAGTGGGCGCTATCCCGCATTTTATCAAGGTAATGACTAAATAACGCCTTGATTAAATAATTGACTGATCGATCAATTATACATGTTGATGTCAACCGATGTATTAAAACAAAAAAATTATATCGGAATTCATGCAACTTTGCATAAATGTTAATATTTATGTTAAAAATAGAAGCTAAATATCACGTTGAAATTAAATTTTAACTGTCAAAAAAAATTGATTATATTAATAATATTATTATAAATTATGTGTGACTTAAAAAAATTTTTATTAACTGTTCTATATAGGGCAAAATTTACTGCATCCATTCTTTCGCAGCCTCTCCAGGTTCAACTTCCTTTTTCATCTAGAGAAGCTAGGTCGACCGCATCATAAATTACATTACAGCGAGTAATTATTGTTCTTCATTACTCAGGAAGTACGCGGAGTTGCATGCGCAAGTTGTGACAAAAGAGCTTCGACATTCGAGATTCTCCCTTCTGCACCCTTCGTTTCTCTTTGTACGATGATATATCCCCCGCGAGGACACCCATGAGATAAAGGATGAAAAAAATAAACAGAAGAGAGAATCGCACGGAAAAAGATGAGTACCAAGCAACGCCGATGGAATCGTGGATTTAGCGCGGAATCGGTAGCGCGGCATGACTGCGGGACGATAAATCGGCATGGCCAACTGCTCGAGTCAACGAGCCGTGTCCAGTTTGCCGCCCCTCGCCAGAGAGTGGTTCGGTGGACGCGAATTCTCGCGGGGAGGCAAAGGGACGAGGGAAACGAAGAGTCGCCGCGGGAAGCGGAAGGGTGAGAGGGACTATCCCGACATTCACCACACGCTATTCTTCATACTCCATTATCCGTGCTCTACTCCACTCTACTCCATTATGCCGGCACCGCGTATAAACGACGAGTCGTACCCACCCCCGACCCTCCCCGACGCGAACCGCCATATGTCCATCAGGTTACTCGTCGTCCTCGCTGTGTGCAACAGCGATAAACACTAGCCCAAGCGCGGTGGCTCGGTTATCGAATGAGAAAAGTACGTTGCTTTATGCAGACCGCTTCATAATCCGCATCAAACTTCGCCAGAGTATATCCTTTGACCAATTTGAGGTCAACTTTTCATTTACGAAATTCAAATATAATTACGAATGTTATTTGGTGTTAATCATTAAAAGTTTCGCCGAGATAAAATTGCGAGAAAAATTATAATTCCCAACAAACTACAGATACTCTACTCTTCTTCCAATTATATCACGTATAAATACACAAAAAGAACGATTTGATTGAAGTATCTAAAAATTTAGCTAAGCACACACACAGATCTAAAAGTATAATTTATTTGACTACCAAAATTATTATCTATGTAGGACGTTTAAGCTGCAGTTGCTAGAATAGATTTCGCAACGTTGCTCTCATCATGCTTGAATTTCCTACATAATTTTGATGGTCTGACGAAATTATTTCCAGATTTGTTTTCCACCTAAATTTTTAGACGCTTCAGCAAAATTGTTCTTCCGTATATTATTATCTGCATTGCTGTAATTATGTTATAATAACACATAGTTAAAATTAACAACATCGATATTTGAAAGAGGGTGGTGTGCCACGCCTTTAAAAACATGTAGTGCCGAGACATATGCCATTTGCAGTGATAAACTTAACTTGGTGTACTAAATATGAAACACGCCTTCATCATACACGTACATACGACTTGGCTGGAGCTACGAGGCAGACGGAAATTCCCCTCCCGAGACCAGGTTTAATTAAATCTTTTGCAAATTTGCATATACGCACTTCCGTCAGTGAGAATCCTTTAGAACCCTTGGCGTTACCGAGACCCCAGTAGAGATTCGTTTCCCTACCTACCTGTTATGTAGATCTGCCACTAGTCCTCCGAGATGATGATGATAATCTGAGCGAAGACGGCTTCGAGAGGAAGGATAGCGTCCAAAAAATAAGACACTAAAAAGAAAAAGAAAAATTGAAATGTGAATATTACGCCAGAAAAATAATAGATTCTAAAAAGTAACAGCCGTATACACGAAATCGATGTGAAAACAAAAAAAAAAGATATCTTCTAAATTGTGTGTGAAAATTCTAGGATAACTGCAGATCAGGAGGACGGTGGACGCAGCGTAGGAGATCAAAGAGAAAAGTCATGTGGATTTATATTTTGAAATACACTTTTACTTCGACTCGGTCAAAAACTACGATAACAATAGGTCGGTAGATATGTATATCGGAAATCATTTTTTGGAAACGCAGAGTGCCCGTCGCCGGTTTACAAAAACGGATAAGCTTCTTGCCAGCGCGGCGCGGTGCTTCTCGCAAAACTATTTCGCGAGTTTGTTCCATTCGTTTCTTTGGCAGAAATTTCGATGTAAGATCTTCGATGCCGGCACGTTCGTTCATACGTTCGTTGAATGCTTTTGCGAACATTTCGCCGCTCGTACGCTCCCCGCGACATTTTCACACGACTGGAAAAACTTTTTCACCTCACGAAACCCATTCGATTTTACCGTCGGCTTGACCCGAACGTGACCACACGTGATAGCCTTTCGCGAATCAGTCGATTTCTCAAGATAACTCAGGGTCGCTGCAAATATCTCGCCAAAAGCATAGAGCCAGATTTCTTCGGTCCAAAAGATGGGTATTTTTTTTTTTTTTAAGGAAAATATGGGTCGAAGGAAAAAACTAAACGCGCAACGTTGAAGGCATATGTATTTACAAAAGAAAAAAAGGAAGCCAATTGCCAACGTCAGTCTCGACGATATTGCACGATCCCGCAGTCGTCCGCAATTATATACTATGAAAACGTAATCGATGAAACTAAATCGCATCGCTCAAAACGACGGCGAATAATGATTCGATGAAACGACAATGTTCTAGCTTTATGTACACGTATATACATCTTGCGGATATCATTATTGTAATCGTCATCATCACTTTCACACCCGCGCTCGCTCTTTCGTACGCAATTCGTTCTCACTTAATTACAAATCTCCCTTCGCTCATTTGCACCCCTAAAATTCATTGGCGTGAGACACACACAACCGGTAAAACAATTTTTTTTTATTTCCCAAAGCTTTCCAGAAGAAACGTACCTCGACGAACGGACTTGTTCCCCGAGTTCTTTTCGAATCAAGTTTTAATGCCCACTAGTGCTAATTCGCCATCGAGAATCGTCCTCGACACTTGGATAGTTCTCAAAGAATCACCACGTCACATTACAATTCGATGTCACAATAGCCGATAGCCTCAAGAGCGATCAGTTAAGCGTTACTTCCCTCTTGTCTTCCAGGAGTTACCACATTTCTCGATAGTCGAATTGTTAGATAAGAAATCACTCGCTTCTGCCTCTCAGTATGGTCTCCAGACGTTGTTATCCGGTCTGACTTCCTCTTGCCTTACGCTGCAACTATCCGCGACGGCTCTCTGTTCGGCGCTCTCGGGATTCTGGAACTGATTCCCGTAGAGCTGAGAGTAGAGGATGCTGGGCAGCACACCGGGCGTTGGAAAGTAGTTGCCGTAATTCTGTCCAAAGCCCTGTTCCTCGTGCACCGGGCTCTCGGTTGTGCTCGAGTCAGTGGACAGTGATCTGGGCGACACGTAGTCTTGATATCTCTGGCTGGAAGAGCCACCGGACATGAGGCCGCTCAATGGATCCAACGGATCGGACTGACCTGGTGTCGTGGTGTCCGGTACGACTGTGACATTCGAGGAGAAGCTACGCTATTTCACTAAAGACAAACGGGTCGACCGATCTAGCGTCTCGAGAATTAAGATTCTAATGATCTTTCGAATAATTACATTTTCAACCATGAGGCCTATACGGTGCTTCCGGATTTTTTCTTCAAGATTTTCATATAAGTGAACAATTTGGCAAATTATTTTTCAGTCTATGTGATCTCGTTACAATCTATGTAAACTTAAATGATTTCAATTGTAAAATTATCATAGTTTCGGAGAGTCAAAGTTGAACAAAACGTACATGAGAGAAAAGTGTTTAGTAATTTGTAACTGATAAAATAATGATGATTAAGATGACTTAAGAAGACTTTATTTCTATATAGTTATTACTACTGTAATGTTAATAACTGATAACTCTAATAATTATAAACTACATATACATAGAGTTCCTAACACATAAAGAGTATAGCATATAAAATTAATTTATTTTATTGTACCGTGCAATTATAATCACAAATAACTAAACACTTTTCTTTCAACGTACAAGGAAAGAACAATTTTGCTGAAGATCTAAAATTTTGCTAGATAGATTCGAAAATAATTTTGTTGAGTCGTCAAAATAATAATATTAGAAACTAAGAAATGATGAGCAATATTGAAAAAATTTTTGATATTTTAGCAATTAGTTTGAGTTTCTAATAAAAATATTTTGATGATGTGTGTGTGTGTGTCCAAAATTTATTTTCAGATCTATATTCACCGAAACCTTAGATTCTTCAGAAAAATCGTTTTTTTTCGTGTAGTAAATAGACAATTAAGCGACACCTCATGGTTGTTCACTCGTTAAAAGCATGGCAAAATTCGACGTGCAGCGAGCTAAACTTACGAGAGGAGACCGCGGAAAAAGCGTCCTGCTGTGACGTGGTGCCGGTATTACCGGTGGCGGATGTGACAGTCGAACCCGCCGTCGAGTCCGGTGCAGTCGGCGTAGTCATGGAGGCCGTACCGGCGAAAGACGCCAGCGTGGACGTCGGCGGCGGTGGCGGAGGGGGTGGCGGCGGGGGTGGAAACGAGGCCTGTGCAGCGCACGACGAAAGGGGACCCGGAAGGTAGCCGGCGTAGCCGGCTGTGCTACCGTATCCCCAAGAATTGCTCGCTGTCAGGCCAAACTGGGACATATCTAGAGAAACCAACTTTTGCACGCTTTGCCAAGAGTACGACAAACGAAAAAATCGACAATCGTGCAAGCGAAGAACGTTTTTGTAAAATTAAATTGCATTGCAGAAGCATTAACGCCGTCAAGATGCCTGCTACGAAAAATCAATGACTGCCTAGAAAAGTAGAAAGAGCAGCTTTGTTATTATTATAAAATTCTTTAATTTGATTGATTTTTATATTTATATTCAGTAAGAGGGACTAATAATAAGACCTTTTAATCATATTGAAGAATTTTCTAATATTATAGATGCAAAGCTGCATTTTAAGGTGAACACAGCTAATGAACGCCCCGAGCACAGTAAACAATACAAATAAATATGTACAATAAAAGCTGACTAATATAAAACATCGATAGCAATGCTGACGACAGTCACATCGGCAGAACAGCTAAATAATAATCGCAACAATCGAATAAAACAACAGAAGGCTGAAAAGGCACGGAGAAATTTTCGCCGGATTATATGCCAATTCGAATCACGAGATGCAGCGGCGGCGGCGGTTCTGTGCGCCCCTTGGCGGATGTATTTTTGCGGGGTATAGGCAGCATCCCCGATAGATTTTCCAATGAGTCACGGGGGTTGAATGCAGAAAGGACGAGAGCACGGGCGCTTGCGAGAGGGACACGGGCGGACATGGCGGAGAGTGAGGGGAACGGAAGAGTACATCGAGATCAAAGGGTTGGTCATCCCCCGCGTAGCTGGGGCCAACTCAAATAACCGAGCCCGCCTCGGCAAGCGCCACCGGACCGTCGTCACGAGAGCTAACCCTAAATACTGCTATCCGCCCGGTGCTTTCACATCCTTCGGCATTACCAGATTCCTTGCGGTCCGAAGAGAAGGTGGCCCTTTTTATGGAAAATCGCCTAAAGTTACGCACGAGTTTATCCGAAGTATTCGGACACTCGTTGCGGGATTCAAATACCTGAACGATCCTGTATCGAATCCACTTCGTTATTTATGAAAAAAGTTTACGTAGTTGTTCTGCCAGATTTTTTTTTAAACAAAATTCTTATTTTTTAATTATATTAATCCCCCGGTACTGATACAGTTATTAACGTTTGAAGCTGCAAGACTCATTTAATTTATTTAATTAAAAGACACTGATTAATTTCAAAGAACGAAATTGACATATTTTATATAAAAAGGAATGAATACTATAATAAATATATTTTAATAAGAATAATCCAAATTTGCAGATATAACGTAAAGAAAATTGTTATGGATCCAATAAATTCACCGTTAGCTCCAGAAAGTTAATTATATCGAATAATAAAGAGAGAGAGAGAGAGAGAGAGAGAGAGAGAGAGATAATTACATCACAACGTAATGTGCTTATTCTAAGCTTTTACAATTTTAGTAGAGAAAAGTAATCCCGTGTACGCAAGTGTCTCTCGAAATCGAATCCGCCAAGCGTATAGCGTGAGAATAATATATAGGCACGTACGCATATTATATCGGACCAGATGCCCGATGAGGGAAAAAAGTTAATAAAGGAAATATTCGGCGTGCTTCGTATTTTATCGGGAAATGTGCTAGTAACGGAGCAGTCAGCCCTCATGTCTGAGGTAACTCATTAAAACGGCTGATCTCTCGAATTATTGTTTAAGCTTTTTTTTCTCGTCTCTTCTTGCGCACTACCAGAACCGTTTATCGATGTACGCACGCTCGAGAAGAGTATTAAAAATTTTATCGTACAATATATATACCGTTGGCGTGCGTTCGGCGGTTTCAGGATTTGATCGTGGGAATCAGCAGCACGATTTTTAATCAACGAGCGACAGCTACTTTTTTGAATAATCGAAATCAACGGGGCAACATTCCCTCGACATTACTTCGCCAATGCGCTTTACGCGCAAACTCGCGAATCTACGTTATAAACGTGAAGAGAGGAGGTGAGGCTGCGCCCCCAAAACAGGGAGCCAACCGACTGGGACGTGCTTCCGTGGCAACCCCTTTAATATAATATTTAATCTAGCTTTGAACAGGCTTGCGGTTTCCGCTTCTGAAGCCGAGAAGCTTGCTGCCGAGCCTACCCAAAGCCATGCTTCTGTACTCAGACCAGTAGCAGAGTCTGAAAATATTCCCAAACTCAACGGAAGCCACCTACTCGATGACAAAAATTATCTAAATTTCATAACGCCACTAAACTGTCGTAAAATAAAATTTAAAATTTATTATACACGTCTTATTATACATATTAATATTTTTTTTTTTCTACACATTTTTATAATACAGGCTACTACGAAAATAATGCAGATTGAGAAATCTATAAAACTAAAGAAGTGCTGCGACGCATAAATTGGCTACAGAAAGAACGATACATGCATACACACATAAATAAGTTATTATCAAAAAATTGAAAAAAGAAAGCCGTATACAATTGAAGGCGAAATCACGATCATGCGCAAACGCGGTTACTTACTCTGACAATTACCAGGCATCGCGTGTCTAAAAGAAGACAACGGATCCCTCGGCTGGAGCGGATTCGGTAACGGTTGCAACGGATTTGGCAGAGGTTGCAACGGATCCACCAGGGGCGAGGCGAAGAATGGACCGCCTCGTTGCGAGGCGAATGCAAAGGCATGAAACTGTTGTTGCTGCCCTAAAAGAGACAGCACTGCGATCAACCGTGCGCCTGTCCACTGGACTTCCGGTACATGTATCAATCGCATAATTTTTGTCTATGCAAGCCTTTTTTTTTATTGTACCTACTCAAACGCAAAAATATAATATTAAACCTTTATTTACACGTACGAATATAATAGAAATAATTTTTGTTGAAAAATAGTACAATTTTTCCGATAAACATACGAAATAATTCATACGCATTTTCCAGTCTGACAATTACTGGAAGATGCATCTTTCATTTACCGAAACGACAAACAGAACAATACGGGTAAACGCCGTGGCCGTCCCTTCGGAAGCCGGAACGAACGAGGGAGACACGAGAGAGGCATCGATACATTTTATTTCCCTGCGACGGTGTCGCCAACCCAATTAAAGACGTCCCAACAGGCAGACGTCCTATCCGGCTGTCCCTGGCTAGAGGTCGCCGCACAGGACAACCGTGTGCCATACCATGCAGGTTCGTTCTCTTCCCCTAAAGGCAACGATTCAACGTGGAAGGCACCGGAGGCCAGAGAGACCGACACGAAGGGTCGCTGGGCGGAAGGGAGGTAGCGGACTCCCGTCGTCCTGATAATCCAATCGAAGCCCTAATTCTAACTCGGCAACCCGAAATTCCCGCCGGTTTGCTGAATAGGGTACGCTCGATCCGGGGACACAATGGGGGCGCGACGGCGGAATACCGACGGGTACCGAGACTAACGAGATCCTGTTAAACGACTGGCGATTCGAGCACATTGCGAGACCCGAGAGAAGCCCGGGAGAAAATTTTATGGACCGTACAGGTTTCTTAAGTAAAGCGCACCTTTTATTTTCCTTTTAAGAAGCAAATGATTTGTTGTGTCGTAAGTAAAGTACAGGTTTCAGTAAATTCGATCAACGTAACCTTCTACGGAATGAGAAATGGGTGCATGCCACGCGACCGGAACGCGATCGGAAAACGGCAACTTCGAGCGAGGATTTGTTTTGAGATACCGGTAGTTTCCTACGCTGGCGGCTTGATAGATTTAATAAATTATGCCGCTCGACCCACGCATTTATCACGCCACCCTAACCCTTTGAATTCGGCGCACCGCCGTTCTTCGCAGTATTTCATTAGGCGTCGAGCACTCGTGCGACCCTCCGAATAGACGTGCGATCGTTCGCTCTTCTAAACTCCACGTTGCTCTCCCGTTTAAACGAAGTAGCAAATAATCAGTGGTCAATCTTTCACGTAACTACTCTGATATTACTCTTCACAAACAGGCACTTTTACGTGGAAAGAATGACGTTGTATTAACAACATTAGCCGACAACAGTCTAATTGAAAACAATCTTAATTTATAATAACAATGTAAACAAATATGTCATGTTGTTGTTTTAATAAAATATCATTTGCTTCAATAATTTTTACAGGACAGAAAAGCCACTGTAACGCTCGAACAATGTTATATTTTATGGTAAAGAATATAATAAAATAATGAATTATAAAAAATATGTATCTTATATTAAATTGGTTGTGTTAATTAGAATTCTAGTCGTAGTAATCAGACGTCCAATCATGATGAACAAAATTCTGGTCAGATATGATCTACTGGTTCATACATTTTTAATCAATAATTTTTCTCTGTGTACTTAAAAGTTAAAAAATGTTATTAAATAATCGAAATTATTTTTAATTAAACGTCTATCAGCTAATACTGTTAATATATCATCTTTGTTAGTATAATACATGTCGCGATCTTTCAAGTATCTTGATTAGGTATTCTCATTCTGGATTATCGCAGCGGACGATCTATGACAGCACTTCCGGATTTATTCTTCTGTGGAATGGGAAATGTTTGGCGATTGGACGAAGTCGTAAGTCCTCGGCAAGTCGCGGCTATCGATTTCATCGGACACCCTCTTTGCGCTCCGTGACTGCCAGGGAATTTCTCGAGAGTTAGCAGCTGGCAACGACAGATCCTCATTTCGTCCCGTCGCCAATTCCCGCCTCTCCCTCTCTCTCTCTCTCTCTCTCTTTCTCTCCCGTCCCACTCGACCTGTGTCCCGAAATCAGCTTCTCTCGATGTGAGCTCGAGCTGGTAAGCGCGACACCCATTTTCGATCTTTCCTATCACCACCGAGAACCGTTTCATTCGCCGAAGATGCACTCCGCGAACCTACGAATTCCGATTTCAAATGGGCGAATCCTCGCGAACAGCATCGAAACCCGAGCTAAACCTCCCTCAATCAATTTCCTCGGCCCCGCAGCCTTTCCGCGGCAACGGCCACCTTCGGCTACCAGACGAGGGTAGAATGTGTAATGAATTGCTTGTTTAATTAATTACAACCCTTCGGAGGCATTCGCTCGGTATTGTCTTAGATAAGTTTCATTCGTTTATTCTTGCGTTTGATCGTCGAATGCACGAATGCACAATTTATATCACTTATTTGAACCCTACGTTCACTCATACGTAAAATTATTTCAATCACAAAAGGTACATAAAAAATAATCGATAGCGAAAAAAAATTTATTATTATTAATCCAAAAAAATATAAAAAAATATTTAAGACTTTTTTTATCAAATATATCTTTTAAAAAATTTTTTTTATATCCTTCCTAAATTATTATACTTCAATGTATAAAAATAAACCTGCCACGTACTGAAAAAAAAAGAATATATAATATATTATAATTAGAAGTCCTTATAGCTTCTTTCAAAGACGAGATGAAACATGTGGGTCGTGGCCTCGAACAAAACGCACGAGGACCACCCGGAAAGCCAAAGCTCTTTCATCTCTCGTCGTCATCCTTGAAATTGTCCCTGATTCAGTAAACGGTTTGTTTTCATAGAAGATACAAAGCGCCGACGAATGTCTATTTCCGACGTCCTTACGCTATCTTAACGATCTCTAAAATTCATATCCGCTGTTCGCTTTCAAAAACTTGACGTTCCGCAAAACGTGTTCAGCTGGAGTGATTTTTTTTTTTTTTAATTACTTTGAATTATACAATTAATTATTATCGATGTGTTAAAAAGTGCGATCTCTACAATAATTCGCATCTCGTAATAAATTATCCCGTTTTAAATATATATCGCCGACTGAAATAACGAACAGTCAGTAGCATTAATATCGCAAGAGAAATTACTTCTCTGAAACGTAACGTTCTCTGAAATGTAGTGTTTTGCTTGGATGCGCGTCTCCGAGCGGTACACCGAAATTTCGCGTTTTCATATTTTGGATTTATGACGGAAGTTTCGTGGGTGGTCCGCAGATGCGGCCAAGCCGGCGGATGTGGTCGCAATTTCCCAAGGTACCAAACTTATGCTGTGCTACCCAGAGCGACCGCTTCGATATATTAAAGCTATCGGATATTTTTGGTACGCGTCTTCAGGGACGACATTATTAGTGCTCTAATGCATTAGCGTATTAATGCTCTAACGTCTAAGGCAACAACACGAGACTGGGATCGCATCGCAACGTAACACGCGCCAAACACAGCATCTCGAGAAAATACAATTGATTTTATAGTCGATTCAAAATGCAAACGTTACCAGAAACTTTTCGGTACGCAGCTATTGCTCGGGATAAATCTTTTAAAAGGACAAATCTTTGTCCTTGACACGACGCCACAAATTGACGTACTCGGAAGCACAAAGCGTACAATGGGTTATATACACGTAGTAGGTTACGTGGTAGATAACAAACGGAGAATGAGAAACGTCCCTTTCCCTTCGCCTCTAAGGAGGGGTTCCTCCTGCAGACAGGCTCGACAGCGAACCTACCGAAATAACGGGGAGAATTCTCAGTAATTGTATGTCTCGGCACTACGCTCTCGCGGAGGAGTTCTCGCGAGCGGATATCTACGAAGTTTGCAAGCGTCACCCTGCGTTTTGGCCAAAGCACCGCGATACACACCTTCGCGGGCAACGCCCGCAGCTCTTTGTCAATGTTATGGCGGGACCCGGTGCCCCGCGGTTATAAATAATGACAATTGCACGAAACTTAGCCTTGGAGGGGTAACGGCCGACCAGCGCAAAGCCGCACACTATAGGGCCATTTCGAACTTGCGGCTTTTACTGCCTCCGGTGCCACGCCGCTCGTTCGTTAGGCATTACGATCGTGTCGAGGGTCCCGCTAAAATCTGTTTTCCCGTATATTCCACGCACCCGCCAAATTTCCGAATTCCATAACGCGTCCGCGTTATTGAAAGTCTCGATAACCGTCACGAGAAACGTTCGCGACTGCGGACCGCGCAGCGTCCATTGATGAGGATGTCCCCGCTTGTGACAATTCTTGATAAGACGCTACGTGGAAAGAATGACTTTGTTGTAGGATCTATAATTTGGCTGGATACAGATTTGAACATAATTTTGTTAATCGTCAAAACATGAAAGATTCGTTAGAATGTCAAACTTTTTGCAGTACAAGTAAAAAGAATCATATTTGATCAAAGCAGATCTTAATATCTATAATAACGTATTTCTATGTGAATTCTTATAGTTTTCGATTATAATCGCAGTTTGCTTAAACTAGAATTTAAACTATATGGTTCTCTTCATTCATTTGTGTTAAACCTTTCTCGTCCATTGTCGCTCAATAGTATTTTTCTGCAGCATTACTCGTTATTCTTTAATTTCCAATATAATTATTTTGATGGTTCGACATGATTTTCAGATTTGTATCCAGATAAATTGTAAATCTCTCAGAAAAATCGTTTTTTCCGTGTACTTCTATTAACTATTTTAGCAAGAATAAAATATAATAAATATATATATGTATATAAGAACAGCAATGCTTACAGTGATACTCACTGGTCTTGGATCGCGGCTCGCGCGGCCCATCTACTGTCACCTTAATCGCCTTGGTGTAAGTGGCGACTTGAGGCGGCGTCGTCGACACCGTTATCGTTAAGGTGAAACTCTTGCCTGAAACAAAAGAACACATTCAACGTGTTAAGCGATCGATCAAAAAAATCTTGCAATATTCTATTAGATGAATTTATTCCTGGTACTGCAAGCACGCGACTTTAATTACGATGCATCGCGACGCGACGCGTAGAATGGAGATGCTGCGGAAAAATTAGCCTCTAAAAACGAGAGGCGGACAATCAGGTGCGTTTTTCAACGTCGATTTCCGTCCCGCGACGCGTCGATTCGTGGACGCGCCTATTCAGCCGACGTCGAAAGTTCGCAAACGCGGTTAGCCGGGCGAAACTCCGTGGTAACCGAATTATAGTTGGTAATGTATCGAGGGCGTCGTCGACGGTGACAGTGGCCAGCCAGCGCGGCCGAGTTAAGGGAATAGAGGGTGGTCGCGTTCGAGGGGAGGATTGGGCGGCGAGGCTGGAAGTCGCGTGACGCTAAAAAGCCTCGGTCGAGCGCGAAATAATGTCGTGGAAAAAGCGGGGGTGGAACTGTCGGGTGGAAACGCGCGTGCAACGGTATACCGCAATTTCATCCCGCGAGCATTAAGCGCCGAAACTCTGCCGCAAAAACTCGCGCGATCGATTCAACATGCAAAAGCACACTATAAAACGCGTGAAAATTACGAGGAGCGTTTCCCGATGCGAAAAGTCGCCGCAATGAAATTTACGCACTCGCGATAATGCTATAACACGCGCAAGAGGCAGTCTGTCATCACAATTTTCATGAGAAAATCGTACATCTTGCTCCAATAAGCATTCGATAAAATATAGATAAAAATAAGAAACATGTGCTTTCTCGTACATTGATTGACGAAACTTCTTCTTGAATGAATATCATCTAATCCGTCAAAGATATAAAAAAATATTTTAATTTGAATTAAAAGTTGAGTGATTTTAAAACTATTTTATAATATTAATAATAAAATTGCTTTTTTAAAAATATTAAATATTTGGTCATTTATTACAAAATAAAATATATATTATGCAATTTTTATTTAAAACTTTTTTATATCTTTGACAGTTTAAACGATATATTCACTCAGGAAGAAAAAAACCGATTTCTTTCCCAGGAAAGGTAAAAAAGTTTTCAAGAAACTTTCACGCTCTCTTAACTTTCGGGAAATTTATTTCTGAAAAAATACATGTCTCTCTTATTTCTTTATATATTTTAATATATCCAAAGCTTATGTTAAAATTGAAAGAAGATTCTTGTTTCTTCTCACGTCAGTCAAATAGCTTCTTTCTCCCCGTTAAATTTTGTTCGCGACGCAAAGGTCAATATTATTATATATTCGCATCAGCACATTATCGATATCAATAGAATGCATCTTTGTATTGCACGACAAAGATGCAATGATTATCTCAGTAACCCATATACCGCACGTTCTTCGTGCAATAGATGTATCCTCCAAAACATGTTTTCTTGAAATTAGATACGATAATGCTGCAAAGGTAACGTGCTTTTATCTACTACCGGTTTACAAAATGAAGAATAACACATTATGTTATTTATATCTGCTCCTAAACGAGTCCTCTTCACTAATGCATTACAACGGTCGCGTTACCCTTTCAAGCAGCCATTACCGTTATTTTTCTATCAGATCCATTAGACACGTTTCCGTACATGGCGAATACGATAATCGATCGCGGGTCAGAGTTCACCGTCGACTTGAACTCACCGGCGGCGTCAATATAGATGGTAAAGTCCGCCGCACTGTGACGTAAGATGATGGATGGCGGGGAAAAAAGAATGGTGGTGGAAGGCAGGGCATCGGAGAAATAATGGCGAGTGTCGAGCGTGGCCACACGGTGGTTCGCCACGCGAGCTTTTCGTTTTCTAGCGAGGATTCCCCTCGGTTTTGGCTACGAGTCACGCCATTCTCGCCGTGCCCTCACTCTGCCGACCAGCCTTTTCACTTCTGCTGCCTCGGAGTCGATGGTCCCCAGTTAGGTAGGCACGCGTAGGTACACGGGTATCACCCTCGGTGCCAGTCGCCGTGCAGCCATTAAAGGTCGTCCGCGATCGCCCGGGTTTGAACGCGCGTTGTCGTCCTTACGTTATCTTTTAAACGTATACGACTTAATTTATCTGAACGAGACTTCGGCACTACTACAGTTTCTTAATCCCACGAATCCCTATTTTTCTCAACGGTATCGCGAAATTAATTAAAATAATTTATAACATTAAATTTTTTGTGAATTTTATATATGATATTACGTCATTTCAGCTTCAGTCCGAGACTATGTTTCAAGATCGTCAAATAATCAGCGTGCAATTTGCTTGAACGGAAAATGTGGAAATTCATAGAAAAATATTGGCTGCACTGAAAAAAATTTCTGGTTGACAGACGATGGATGAACCAGCACAAATTCTGATCGTATCAATTAGAATTCTGATAGATTAATCTGCGGAAAACTCACTGACTGTCTACTTTCAATCAGCATTCCAACGCAATCAAATTCTTGCTTCAATGTTCAGTAGAAAAAGCAACTGTTGTACGATTCTTTAACACGATTGGTTTGTACATTCAGTTCTAGTGAGGAAAGAACTAATTAGAAGAATACAACAACTGTAAAGCTGTTTTTTTTTCTACTAAACGCCAAGGCTTGCTTTCATCGAATATGGGCCTTCTTTTTTTATTCGTGTTGAAGATTTCGTGGTATTCATTCACTATATTGTTTCAAATAATTTTATTTCAAAGAACGATTCATATATATGTGAAGAACAATAAAGTAATGCAATTAAATGTTAATCATTTTTAAGTACCATAAGAATATCCGTCAAATTTAGAATATACACAACATGGAGAGGCTCATCCTCGACCATTCGCTGATTATGCTCGTTAGCATATAGTCCTCTGTAAACGTGTGTGTAGAACTACGCGTGCGTACACATGTCTCGGCATTGTACCCTGTCGGTGTACTGTCGGGCCAATTAATTAATTTCAATTTTCCCGGAACGAAACGCAAATGCGCAATTGCAGTCTGATAACGAATTGATTACGGTCTGAAACTGCCGCGAGTGAATGCTGTTTTTCTTTTCGGAGTGAAACGATTCTCGTGCTGCGGTCGATAAATCAACATTCGCGAATAAATGCGTTTGACCAATTCCATATATCAAACATTTTTATCGTACTCAGAAGGTTAATAAATTATGCGCATACAGTGTGATTAAATATTGCATGCGTACTTTGAATTATTATGGATTATTATAAATTATTGTAATAAAAGTTCGATATTTGTCTCTTCATTAAAATTGAATCTTGTGACACTTTTATTACAGAGACCTTTGATATCTTTAATTATGATTTCCTATTCTTCTTCATATTACAGATTACAAGTAAGATGACTGACAATGACAGGTTTAATAGAAAGTGTGTTGTAGAATTATAAAGCAACTTGGTTAGATTGGACGACGTTCCCGTGAAGTTTATTCGCGGCAGCGAAGTCGAAGGATATCTTGCTATGGGTTGGAACTATAAGCGCGCAAATGATCTATCTCGTTAAAGGGCTTAGGGCCGAAGGGGTGGAAACAATCCGGTACCTTCAGGGTAGACTTTGCAGTGATGGAGCAGGCATTACGGTCGAACGTGCGGGAAGGGGGTTACGGCTTATCATCGATATTGCAAAGCTCTCGACTATCGTAGCAGTACGCTCAATCTTGTCCGGGCTAAAAGCGGTTTTAGGCGAAGACAAAAGCACAGTGTCGGCGTTGCATTTAACGATTCCTTAAATTTATTGCAACAGCAATATATCGAAATTCAATAACAACGGTGGAATATTTTCACAGATAAAGTTCCGATAACTTTGATGTTTTAACAAGCTTTAAATATAAAATTTCGTTATAATATCAAAATATATTAAATACACGCATTTATAAGGCGAAAAGTGTAGCTAATAGGAAATTTCTAGGAATTTTCTTTCGCGAATCTCAAAAGGACAAAATCCTCCCAAATTCATACATGGAAATATTTCCACGCTCGACAAACAAGAGGATCATTAAGAATTCCCGAGAATTCGGCGCACATCGGTTTTCAGGGAATATTCAAGGAGCCAGGGAGCCGTTAGGAATCCTGACGAGAGAGACACTTCTCTTACATTCTTCATCCTAGCTTATGTTAATTCCGTGCTCGGCGAAAACAATTGAGAGCTAATCCCAGACAAATGACTGACGCGTTCCCGTGAACTTGGGAGAGAGCTCCCCGCTTCCAAGCTAGAGAATCTGCGAGTTTCCTGATTTTCAAGCGATTAGCCTTCCCTTACCAATACTATCAGAAATATGACAACAACATACTATAATAATGACTACTATAATGGCATATTTTCCATAATAATTATCACATTAAACTACTATTTAACTTGTTTCTTCCTATATTTCTGTCGTAATGCTGATTTTAACATTAATGTTAAAAAATTAATAAGTGGGTGAATCAAGTAATTTTAATACACCACCTTGACTCTTGAGCGTAAAATTAAAATTACTCTCAGTAGGCAAATTGATATGACATCTGTCCCGAAAAATCAGAAGTTCTAGGTTCAAATATTGCCTCAATCAAGAAGACAAACTATTTTATTTTATTACGAAAAATATTGTTTTTCTAGCTGAGGTCAATATATTTTATAATTAAACTATTTGCAGATTTAAGATTGTGATTAATATTTAATTATATTAATATTCTTTTATAAAATTTTTTATTAGCATCAAAAATTATCGAACTGTTTGTCAAATTAATAAAAATAATACCACTATTTGCATTTTAGGAAAAATATTTCGAAGCGCGGTTTGCAAAGAATCAGATATTGATAAATAAAAAACACAGAAAAATATTTAAGCTTCAATTGAGATTCGTTTTGATCGCGCGCGCGAATATAGAAAAATTCTCTTATTCAATTAGATTTATTCTGATCGGTTTAAATTCGTATTAAAAAATTAAGATTGCTTATTGATTCATTTATCGTATAATATATATAATAAACCGTAATTAATGATCTCGTTCAGTAAACCAAATAACTTTATCAAAATCATTGGAAGTAGGTCGGATGCACTACTTTAAGTTACGTTAATCAAAAGGCTTTAGCATGAGTTCAAAAGACGCAGTTAGACGAAATACCGGCTCTAATAACGTTAATTAAAACTCAACTGAAACCTCAATTAATATCACCCACCCCTGTGCGTCTAGTCGACGTCGGCGGCTTCTTCGAACGATACTCAGTCCCTCTCATTTCGCCCTTTCCTCGACGAAGCTGGGCGGCAAAGTGAGAAGGTCGCACGGTGATGCGGACAAATAAAAGCCATTACCCACCCCAAGGTTTTCTCGACGCGAAGAACCAACCCCTAGAATGGAGCGGAGACGCAAGACTTTTCCTTGAAGAGCCAAGGAAAAACGAGGGTTGTCTCAAGACGTCCACGACCTACCCTTACTACGCGTTTACACGAATTCTTTGAAGGGGTTTCCGCCGTCGGTTTCACCCCTCCGGCATTTTCTTCCGGCATAAAAGACGAAGGGCGACACGTTCCAAGCAAAGACTAAGGAACTTGGGAATTTTATGAATGAAGAGGAAAGTAGGACAAGAAAATGTCGTCCGGCATTTAATCTTTCACCCCTCGTTTCTTCGCAATGAATTATCCTTTCGAACATACATTCTCATCCGCGGGGAAGTTTTCAATCGAAAGAAATGACAGAAGACATATATGACTCACCTCTTCCACTTCTGCCGACGAACCTCAAGTCGTTAAACTTGGCGACTTGATTCTTCATCAGAGCCGTCGAATTTCTAAGCTCGGCGCAGCAATTCTCATCATTGCCAGCGCGAACAGTTACCAAAGTACCGTCGCCTACCTCGCCGAGAGCTACGACCTTGAAAGCCACCGGAAGAGTTTTATTGGACCTCCAGTGTGCGGGCAGAACGGTACAGACCAAATGCGGCGAGCCTGTAATCAAAATGTCCATATGATCTCGTTAGTTACAAGATGGCTGACATTACTTATGCTAAATGAATACATTACTCTATCTACAAGTCGCAAGGGTTTATTCTACACACACACACGCACGCACACAAAATCTCTATAATCCTTGCTAAATCTGTATTTGCGGAAGTATTATTCAATTACCTGTTCTAACTAGCTCGCCGGGATGTTCGCTGACAAAGTCACCCAGAGTTCTCTCAGCGAGGATATCACTGGTCATCTTGGTATAGGCGTCAGTCAACGGAGAGACGCCCGACTCCGGCGAGGCGGCCGCGCCAGGAGCCGACGCTCCTGTCAACTGCATCCTGCCGCTTGCACTACTGCCGCTCTCGCTGGTACCGCTCGACGTGCCGCCACCACCCACGGATTCGTTACTGGACGTCCTTACTGAGCCAGCACCGTTTCCGGCTACCGTGCTTCCGCTGCCGCCGCCGTTGCAACGGCCGAATATATCCATAGGCAGTCAGAACACCGGATGAAACATCCTTCCATTCGGTTCAGCCGCTGAACCGGGACAGTCTCGCGAGTATTCTTCAAGAATGCATGGTCTCTTGAATCAGGCTCGACGGCCTGACATTCCCCTCAGATAACTTCAGACTCTCCTCCAAAATTTTTATTTTCGCGACGTCATTAACTTTAGTAAGATTCCTTCATAATGTGAGCGAGACGAGATAAATGATCGATTCGTAATTCTCGTCAAGTTGTTTCATATAAATATGCATTGTGGTATAAATCTGGCAGCGGATCGTTTTTAATCTTTCTTTGGCAGATGTGTGGAGATTATTATTTCTTTTGGTTTATATAGTATCAACCCTTGTAGAAGTTACAAACTGTACGAAACATGTTTTCGATGGAAGCCAAGACAATTTTATTCTTCTAAAATTTTATCTTCTAATGGACAACTGGATTGTAAATATCTGAAATAGAACACAAGACAACTTACATGTAACAATACATAAAGTTTCTGCCATAATTTATCTTTTTCATAAAATTATTAATTCTACAATCTAGAAATTTTAAATACATTCAGTATGAACAAAAAATGAAACTATCCAAGAGACCGAACAACTCTATTTGACAAGGAAAGTTCGTGTCGCGCGACAGTATTCTCGCGGCCGTCGGCTGATCAGCGACGCTCTCACCATTCTTAATCCAATCAACGAAATCTTTTACGTATCGTTATCTTACAAGTGAGATTCTTTAACTATAATCGTCTCTGACCTTCGCGACAACATGACACCGCCGGGGTCGAACGAGGAAAGCGGACGGAGTGATCGAAGCGGCAGGTAACGCGCGAAGAGGAACGAAAGGGGGTGAATACGGTTGACACGAACAGGAACGACTCGCACACTTTTCACGCGGCTGGCTCGTGACGTCACCGTTCATTCAGTAATTTTTGCGCACGTCACCGGGGCTGACACGCCAGATCCAGGTGGTTCCAGGAGGGGCAGACTGGCACGGTAGTGGGGACGGAAAAAATAGGGGAAAAAGAACTCCCGCCGGTAGGCACCCCCCACACGAATACCCAACCCCTACGCACGTACGACCGCGTGTCAAACTGCACGTGGCTACGTTTACCACGTTGCTTCCTGCCAATGACGGTCCCGTCAATTTGAAATTACGAATCAGTTCATATCAAATTGATAAGGCGGAGATATAATCAACAAAGCGACTGCGAGCATAGTCTATTATACGGTGAACTTGCTGATCAATGATCGAAATCGGTCATTATAATCGGCCGCGCATAAAGAGCCTCGTAAAATATAATGTTTGAAATGATTTTACTACATTAATTCTACGTGACATACAAATGACGATTAATTACTTCAATCCGTGAGTAGATAGATGTATATTCGTATTATTATGTATTATTCAAAATGCTATTACAAGAAAAGTTGATTGTTACATTTTCAATACCTTCTAAAAGCAAGGCCGAAAGTTGACGGAGCATGTGATAAAATAATGCAAAATGTTTCTACAACTGAGAACGATGACAATCGACCTCGTCGATTTTCTTATCATTCTTTTGTAAGAAAATTCAACGACGTTGCGACGACTAAGATGCTCGCTTAACTTCGCATTCAAATCTCTTACGGAACTCATGTTTACCGTCTTCCGGAGAAATTACAGTACCGATCATTATTCACTTTCAAAAATCTTTTAAGGCGGAAAAAAGAAAAAAGTTATACTATGATAGCTGCAGTGTATTTTAGATGTTTTCTCTTCTACTTCAGAGAAAGAAATTAAAAAATGCTAAATTGATGAAAAGTTATGATAATAATTTTTTCTTTAAAAACATTAGACACAAGATGTAATATTAGTTATTTAAAATAATTTAAAAATTGATTACTTAAAAATTTCATTAAAACGTTTAATACGATCAAAATATTTTGGTTTAACCGATATCGAGGATATTCCCAAGAACCACACTTTTGAAATGATAGCGCAACGAAAAAAACTCTTCTCAAAAGTCTCACTTACTCGCGTTTCAAACTCCGGCTCAAATTCTCTGCTCAACCGAGCGACTGCAGTTACCGATCAAATACACGTCATCACATTTGTCATTATTCGCCACTAAAAAAAAAAACACGTCGTTACAAATAAATCACGCACTTTGATGTACAAATAGTTCTAGAAACGAGAACAAATTCATCGTGCAGTCTCTTCAAACACTTCACTGAAACGATCTATCGATAACAAGTAGACGGATCTCTAATCTCTCGAAACGCGACGAGATCGCTTGGCCCCGAGCTCGTAGGATTTCTCTACGACGGTCCCCCCTTAGATGATCCCGAAGGGACCCCTTTGGCGGTTCGTTAGCGGCACCCTCGAATCATCTTCGTCCCCCGCGTATACTATGAAAGTGGCAGTTCCGTCTCGGTATAGCGTTCTCGGTAGCCGAGAGTATATTTCGAAATATCCGTTGGGGGTCACTAACTATAATTTCGGCGGTTCGTGTGAGGCAACAGCCGTTGACGCACTGGTCCATGCCAACACACGCAGCATCCCTTTCCCCTTACCAGGTTCCTCTCTCATACCCCTCTGCCACCCCACTCCGTCCAACCTTCCTTCCCTATTTGGCGCTCGCTCGCTCTCTCTCTCTCTCCCACCCTCGCTCTCTTCTTCGCTCCCTCCCTCCCCCCCCC